TGTCAGAGGAGAACTCTTCTCTGTTGGGGTTTCCAGGGCTGACTCCTTGAACTGATGTTGCCAGGTTTCCTTAGAATCCTGGCCAAGGAGCAATTTGCACCACCACTGTTCAGCTGAGGAGAACCCTGCTCCCTAATACTTTCATAAGTCTGGGTGTTTGGAGGTAAATAGCCAGGCCTGTCTTCTGATTCGTTTCAGTGGGATGCAACCTTCTTAACTGTCTGTTCCCAGCCTATCTAGTGACTTGTTTGGAATTCCACCGTGTTTCCTAAGAGAAGTGGGTACCATCATCCATCAACTGAGGGCACTGGAAGTTATGTTTGCAGAAGCGGCATGTCTCTTTTGGAAAGCTTTTGAAAAGGCATGGATTGAAGTTTCCCCTTTCTAATCAGGCATTTGGGCCTCTCGGTGCTCCCCTCTCCTGCAAGATGCTATGGGAGAAGTGAACCCCGCTGTATGAGCCTTTATATTGCTCTCATTGCTGAGGAATAGTTTTTGGGTTTTTTTGAAAGAAAATTGCTAGGCTTTTCTTCTGGGTCATCTCTTGGTGAACCCAATTTTCTCTGCTTTATGGCACCATCCATGCTTGTTCAGTGTAGCACCAGTGTGTTCAGAAGAAATCTGTGCTTCATAGGATTTTCTGTAGCTTTCTGTTTTTACATTGATTGCCAGAATTTTCTTGAGAGGGTTTTCAGAAAATTCTTATGAAATGTATAACCTTTATGTTAGCAAACAAGCCAATGGCTGTTGACACCACCCCTAGGTGTCAGAATGCACCTCAGCTCATCAGGGTTGTAAATGGCATGGTTTCGGATGACCTTTGGGTCCGAAGAACAATAAAGAGCAGAGCATTAGGTAACTTCCTGTGCTTCACAACAAGGTTTCCTCACTGAGGTTTTTAGCTTATCATCCCTAATTGGCCGGTAAACACAGGCGGGTTAATTGAAAAGCGGAGGGATACAAGGCTTGGTCAGCCTGCAAGCCAGGAAACAGACTTCAGGGACATGGGGGAGGGAGGCTTCGCTCAGTCTCTCACTTTTTGCCCTGCATGTGATTCTGGGCATTGTGGTCAATAGCGTCTCTGCTTGGCGTCTCCCAGTCAGCGTGGCAAGCAACTACCTGGCAGGCTGGGAACGTGAGGCTCTGCCCGTTGTTTACCGGTAGGCCAGGCAAAAGACTTACTGGCAGACTGGGGGAATGGACCTTCTCTTTGAGTCACCACATAAGCCAGGAAATGAACTTCGCGGACTGCTGGGAAAGCTAGGCTCTGCCAGGCATTTCTCTGCAGGCC